CAATACCATAAGCTACAGGAAAGGGACGAAATGAATTTCCCCTCCGCTAAAGAGGACCCAGGGAGAAACCGACGGCTATCCCTGCTAGCAAAACTCTATTTCGAAATAGAGATCAGTCACTTCATGTGCCTTGTACGTAATACAAAGACGAAAATGGCGTTAAGATTTCCAGCTAGCAAGCAACATCAAAATAACAACAGACGAGTTTATCCGATATACGCCGCAAAGACGTTAGGCTATCATCGAGAAAACAAAACCACCCCGGAGAGCTGCCTCTTCAGCCGCAGAGGAAATGTTTATTTCAGTAAAAAACTTTCGTTATTGGTCTTTACCTGCCACTCGCTGTTACACAACACAGGACAAACAAATGAACTAGCATTGCTAGTTCAGGGAAAAAAACGAATTTCTATGCTCTGTTTACAAAAATTTGCCATACATTTATCTATCACCTCCCCTTTAAATATCTTTGCACAGAGGAAACCCCCTTCTTATCGACACACCGCCCCTAGTGGAGCAAAGAGAAACAGCATTTCTCGAATGGAGCTATGTAGAATTAAATGTGTTGTGCAAAGTTGTAGGCACTGAAAACAAAATAGGAATTTATAATTTTTTTATTTGTTTATTAACTTCAACCCATTGCCTTTAGTGTTTGTGTGCACTGTACTCTCTGGGACTTTTGTTTTGAGCACCTTAAAGACCTTTGCGCAACTATTCTGCAAATTTAAACAGCTTTAATGTATTATAATTTAACAAATGTCAGAGGTGATTTGTGAAAGAAGGACAAAACCAAGAGTGAAAGGGAGGGTTTACAAGATGACAGTGAGACCTGCAATGATGTATGGTTTGGAGACGATGACACTAACAAATAAGACAGGAGGCCAAGCTGGAGGGTGCAGAGCTTAAGATGCTAAGATTGTCACTGGGAGTCACCTGGATGGAGAGGATAAGAAATGAGTATATCAGAGGGAAAGTTCAGGTTCAGCAGTTTGTGGACAAAGTTAGAGAGGCAAGGCTGGGTGGATATAGGGATATTTGAATATGAAGCTGGTAAGTAGGAGGAAAAGAGGAAGACTGCAGAGAATGTTAATGGGTGTATTGAAAAAGGACATACAGGGGGCTGGGTTATCAGAAGAGAATGCTAGGAATAGGGGAAGATAATCCACCGTGGCGACCCCTGAAGGGAGCTCCCGAAAGAAGAAGTGTCATGATTTCAGACCTACTTGATCAGGTCTCTGAAGACAATTTTATGTTGAATGCTTGATGCTTGATCAGATGTACTTTTGATAAATAAGAATGTAAGCATCTAAAATCCCTATAACTTATACAGTGCTGTAGTGCTGTTCATACATTTGCATTTTGGTCACACACAAAAAACTAACTGACCTGAGATTAATTTTAATTTGTCTCTTTTCTTTCTGTTTAATGCATTAGACGTTTATGAGTAAAATGTCAAATGTTTATGTGGTCATAAGGTCAGACAAATATAGCAAAGTATTTTCCTGCACAAATGGACATGTGTTAATGAAGCTGCACACAGAAAAGAATAAAGACACCAAAGACTATATTCAAATAAATCATGGCCCCTGGCTAACAGTGGCAGGCACGAAGCAGTTTTCCCATGGAAAAACATAATGTGTTTATAATCTCACTATGAATGGAACAGTGATAAGGAAGTATAGTAAAGCGTACTGAATTTTTTTCTCAGAAGCTGAGCATCATGGATTTCCTGTGGTTGTCTGCAGCTCGTCAACAATCGAGACTGTTAAACAAGAAAACCACATAACCTAGTTCTGATGAACTGCAATTCACATTGCTTAGATTCAAATTATGTCTTCATATTCTCACATACATTGCCATGTATCAGTGCTGTACTAAGCCCATGCCCCCGGGCACTCTTTTCAGGACCAATCAGAAAGACACAGGAAGCTGTGTCCAGTAGCACCCCCCGTAACTCACATAAAGTACCCTGACTGAGAGACATATGATAGAAGCGAAGGCTAGAAAAGGAAAGCAGACAAATTAAAGAACTGAAGTAATCAAACTGAAGAATCTTATAAGACTGCGACATTGGTGAGTTACTGATTGCAGAGCAAATGATTGTGTGGAATTGTGGCAGACCATTTGGTTCGTTGTGCTAATTAATGAATATTATATGTCTATTTTAATCATAATATCTTGTGCTTTACAAAGCCCCTGCTGATTTGTCTGACAGGATTTTAAGGATCATTTCAGTCTATAAAGGCACTTTTCCATCACAGGTGGTCAAAATCCAAGTTTTCCCCAAAAAAAAAAATTAAAATGGTAACTTTTTAGTATTTGAAACTAAGTCGGTAATGTAAATGTCAACATGTGACTGCACAGCGGAGATTAGAAGTGAAAGAACGTGGTTGACAAATGTGAAAGTGTTGCAGTGGGTGCAGAAATATTGTCTCCAACTGCTTTAATGTCTTTGCTTATGTGCGCTCTGCTTTCTGCTTCAGCCCTCAATAGACCATAAGGTCAAACAGATCAAACATGTATTTCCCTGTCACTGCTAACTGGCTTGGATAAAGGAAGGAAAATGTGTGTATGTGCACGCACATGTGTGTGTTTATGTGTGTGTGTGTATGAAGAGACACTAGACAGTCACAACAAAGACTGCTGGCAAAGTACATTCCATGGGTGTGTTGCAGGAAATCCCACTCCCATTCCCGAAGGATCTAAATAGAAACACACGCACACAAATAAATACAACTTTAGAGACAGAAACACAGAGAGAAGCGCTGCACATAAAACAATCCATTATAGTTTGATGGTGTAATAAAATTAAGTCTATAACATTCTATAACTAATGCTTGCATTTTTTTTTTTTGTTTCATTTTGAGCATTCTTTATAAGAAACTGATCAGCGAGTTGCTCAATTTCTAAATACCCTGTGAATTGCTTTGCAGGGCGTGTGCATCATCAATAGGGGGCAGCATTTATTTTCAAAATGCCAGCCTGGAATGTGATGCGCAATGCAGACCTGGGTCCATAAGAGTTCAAGGTGTCAACAGTCTAAATTCAGTCTACCTTGAAACT